ATTTTTTAAACGCCAGCATGAATAGCATGCATTTTTACATTCTGGACAACTCTGTTGATCTACAGGACAATTTCAGTACAGAACAAAGATTTCTTGAAACGGCTAAAGCACTACCAAACGTTTCGGTCAGAAAAACCGCTGAGTTGGTAGTCCTTTAAAAGATGGGATGAACGTTAAGACCACCAGCAGGCTAACAGGCAAGTAACACATTTGGAGAACCAGGCTATGAAGTGATGGATGTTCCAAGTATCCCAAGATATCTAACTGTTAGGGCGTCCTTTTTTCAAAAATACACAATCTTCGGAAAATATGAAAAATAAAAATCAGACCACAAATTTTTTAAGAATTTGCACGGTAAGTGCATGAGAAGCTAAATAATTAGATCTACGTTTTTCCGTAGGTCAGTAATTTTACCTGCGCCAGCGTGGTTCCTGCGATCGGTACGTAAGTATTTAGGGTTTGTGTGCCAAGTGTATGATCATTCACCAGACGTACAGCCGTATCTGGATCGAGGCAATCCCAGAGACCATCAGTGGCAATCACCAAAAAACGATCATTTGGTGTCAGACGACGGTACAGCACCTATAAATTTTTTATTACCAAAAATATTTGAGGAAATATGGAAATGCTCTGTTTTTTCGAAAACACCTTATAAATGATGGTAACCTACGACATACAAAAGCTCTACTGATCCCCTATCAACCCATCACAGATTATGCATTTTGTATTGCTTAGAAAAATGCTTTTCTAGTTGGTAAGCAGACTGTCGTAATCAGGTTGATCCTGCTTGCCTAAATGGCACGATAGATTACAACATAAGACGTTTCGGTCCATTAATTCATATACGCCTTAATTCAACACCGCAATACGACCTCGTCAGTATGATGGTCGCAGTGCTTAATAAAAAAAAAGGAAAAGAAAAAAGAGGAAGTGAAAAAAAGAAGGAAAAACGATCTGATAGTGGGATCGATCGTGACAAGCGTTTTGTCTGCTAATGTCTTTGGTCTATGGTAAGATATCCCCCCACGATCTGGGAGTGGTACACATTCGCTGAAGACGGCAACCAAAGACATTAGCAGACAAAATGCACGTTAGAATAGCATCATTTTACTTTTTACATTTTACATCACTTTACAATCACCAAACAACTTAAAAAGTTGGTGGAATGTTGTTAGTTGAGTAAAAGTAACTTGAAAAGTTATAAGCTGAGTAACTGAAGAACCGTAAATTATAGCTGATCTTGGCACACCCGATAAAGAATTTTATGGTATTAAATCCCAGTATTTTAGGCAAGTTAAGATTTTTCAAATTCTAATCTCAATGAAAGGTTGCTTCACTGCTGACTGCGTAGTGATAATAAGATCTTCATGATAAATAA